CAACATGAGCTTGGAACTGGAATGAAAATCACAGAAATAGTAAGCTGAGTGTGTTTTATAATGCATCAAATTGACGAACAACAGCGCTACTATCTCAGATTAGTCTATTTGAGCTTGGAGAAAAGCTCGAACAGTCGCTGGTCTAATCAGAACCAGAGCAGGAACTATAAATGACTTCGAATTTAGGTATACCTAGTGCCCTTGCAGTAAGATTTTAATACCGATAATCGATAACTTCCCTCGTTTTCAAATAATCGATGAGAATCCGTATCGAAGGACTGTTTTTTGAGCAAATCAGATTTTGGGAGCTAGAGCAACAAAATGTGACAAGTATTATAGCTTTCAGATTAGAATATATAGATCACTAGCGGATATAGACCGGCCTTGCTCGTGGCATGTATAAAATAAATTCTCTCAAAGATCTTTGAAAATTATTTTCAAACCAATCGGAAGGTAAACAAAAAACCTTCATACAACCGTTTTCCGCCAATTACCACTGCAGCGTGTGAAATTTTATTAAATCGCTGAAACACGTATATATGAAGTACTTATGTAGAATTTTGAAAATAAATTTGAAGCAAGTCGGACAAACAAAAAGAATTTGAGCGCGAAACGTCACCCACCATATCTTTGACCCCCATTTCCACGAGGGAGGAAGGCATTTTTTGAAAAGTGTAAAACACTTTCACATTCAACCGTTTTTCGCAATTTTTCCACACATGAAGGTTGAATTTTCCGAAACCCCGTCCTAGCGTGCACCTTCATCAAATAAGGTAACTATTAGTCATTCAATCAGTCAGGACCAAACAGTTTAGTATATGGGGATTTATCTTTAATTTTTTGACTACCGTCATTTTTGCTACTACAACTTAAGCCTCGCTTCTGTGTACAACGTGTGGGACAGTGTTGTGAATCGTGGCAGAGAAATGCAAATGCAGGAGCATGAAAGTGCTTGCCACTGCTAATAATGGGCAACATCATTATGTTTATGGGGTTGGGGGGGAACTCGATAACTATTTCAGACAGGCATTTTGCTGGCTGGGTTACAAGTTGTGTGCGGTAGGTAAGGGGAGGTAAAGAGTGGCAGTCACATGGTTTAAGGTTTCAGTAACACATACACACACACTCGCAAACACACGAACACACGCTTTAACATGCATTTCTCATGATGCGGATTTTGTTCACTTGACATTTTGACATTTGGCAGCTGGCGCCAAATTAACGCGACATCAGCCCAAGTAGGCGGTGGGGAAGGGGTGTGTGTGTGGTGAAGAGCAAAGGGTTGGAACTGCCATTGCACTGGCTTTAGTGGGCTATGTTGAAAAATGAAGTAAAGCGGTTAACCAAGTCAAAGAATGGCGGCCGAAGCTAACCCTCAACTGCCTGACGCACTAATTTATCATGTTCGACAGTTGTTATTGTTGACAATTTGACATGCAGAGGGCGTGGCAGTGGGCGATAGTAAAAAGCCGTAGACAATGGGATGTGCGTGCAGTCATGCATTAAATTCTCCGGAAAGACGCCTTAATTGAAAGACGAGCATAAACCTCAAACTACGTGAATGCCGTTGAGCTGAGAGATTTGAAAATGAATAAGATACATGTAAGGAATGTTAAATGAAGTCAAAGGACGACAGGTTTTTGAATAGCCTAGTAGAAGCAACAGCAGATCAATTATGCCACGTATGCAACCCATTTTGGCATAACATTTCAATGAACTAAGACCAAAGCCCGGGAGTGTTTTATGAAATTCGACAGAATATGATTCACAAGTGAAAAGCAAAATCTTTAATTAAAACGGCTAAGCACTTAAATGTGTGCTGGGGCGGAGGGTGGAGCTAAGGTACACACTTGTGTAGTCAAAATCAGACCCAAAGCCAAATTGACAACGACAATAGATAATGCATGTGACACATATGTATACAACAAAGACAAGGCATAAAGAAACAAGCCACAGAAGCTACAACAAAAGCTGGGCACAGACAGGCAAGCAACAACAGCAATTTGAAGATGGGCACGATTTATTGCTGGCAGCCAGGAGCTGTAATAAATCGAAGTCAAGCAGACACTTTGCCACTTCTCTTACCATAAGAATTACCATTAAAAGACAAAAAAAAATTAATCACAAAAAGAGATGAGAGAGAAGAAAAAAACACACTGAAACCAAGGCACGCATGCAGCCGCTTATGGGGTGTAATAAATTATGAGCTAATCAGAACTTCATTAAAGTGTTTAGCATGTGCTCAAAGCAAGAAACCAAAGGATTTAACCATTTAATGAAGATAAGAGCTATTGTTGTAAGAAAATGAAATAGTCTGCAAAGTATATAAAAAAAAACTGCAACTTGTGTCTAATATATAGATAGTCTTTGATGGCAACCAATCAGAGCGCCATTAGAACTGGGGTGCCTAATTCTAAGGGTGAAGGAACAGCAGAGTGTCTGAAATCTCTTCGGTTCATCATGAGTCTTCTTACAAGGCATTGCAGACTCCTCATCTACATAAGCTAAGGACTGTGGAAGATACCATCTGCAGACTCTGCCTTGAAACCGACGAGACACCAGAGCGGAATATGAGAAGCTCTTATTATAATGTTAGTAATAATATTAGCAATAAACAATTTCCATATCCCTCTTTGCGAATTACTTTTGTAGAAGTTGCAATGAGGTTGTATCCTACCTGGTAGGTTTCCATATTAAGGTGACATCACAGGCTGTTGGTTCCTTAGCTAGTTGTTCGCATTTATAGTCTTATGGTCGAGGACTTATCTTATAGCGAGTGCTATTTATATCTATGAGTTTCAAGTCGAATTAATCAACAATCTATTGACTTTTTCAGCAGGAGAACTATTTCTAAAAACTACATAAATGTATATTTTTCTTCATTCGCTTGATATTGTTTTAGTTTTCCTTTAGACAGTGTAAAGTTGAATAAAGGCTTACACTTCAAACTAACAATACTCGAAAAACCACAACATTGTCATTGATATGTTTCATTACCTTAAGCGCAACTTGCACAAGCTGAAACTTAACTGCAGATATCTCGGCTCAATTTGAATGCATCTCGCCAAAGTTGAGCTCTAAGTCCTTGCTTGCTGAAGCTGAACTGCAAGTGCGAGTAGCCACCAACTTTATTCACATTTCATTCGTTTGCCCACACACACGTACTCATAAATTTGCTTGGAACTTAAAGTGGTCAAGCAGGGGCAGCAGTCCAGCAAGGGAATTGTCCTGCCAGTCAACGTGACGTATGCGCAATGTGCCAACACTTTAGCTAAGCACTTAATTTAAGGCTGCCTTCATAAACAGAATGCAAACATGTGGCCAAATGGGTGGAGTCCTAGAAGCGTCCTGCTGCTCAGGATGCAAACATTTTGCCCGTTGTTCGGCTCGCATTTCAATTAAGCTGCAGCTCTTGGAAAATGTTTCAGACAATTAGTCCGCCGCATGAATTATGACTTGGCTTCTATAAGTAAATCATGGTCAGAGCTGGTCATAAAATAATTTTAAATAATGGCCAGAAAACAGAAAAAGTACAAAAAGTAAACGTTACAAAAGCAAAAGAAAGAAGCACAAGTTAGCTGCATGTGTGTAGTTAACTATTATGGCTGTGCCTGGGCACAGCTTATGCTATGAAACTTTTGTGCTTCATTTCCGTTTCCGGCTGCACACACGCATGCACAGAGACTGCAGACAAGTCAAAGGCTAAGCAAGAGGGAGACAGGGAATATGTGAAAGCATATGCATAATGGCAAACGTGCCGAAAGCCAAAAGTATATGCCCAAAGACAATGCTAGGGTGTCTAAAGGGAGGGCTGTTTGCGGGAAGGCGTGGCAAACTGCAGCTCGTTTGTTTTGACTTTCAATTGGAGAGCTGTTGCTTCTGGCTGCTAACGGCTGCTCACTGCCAGCTTGGCCGCCCGACTGCCTGCCTGTTCGCCGACTGTTGCCTGTTTCCTGGCAGCTGGCTGCCTGCTGAACTTTGGCCATTTGTTTGCTGCCTTTTGGAAATATAATAAAGACGGCACCGGGCACATAATGCATTTTGCTTGTTTACATAAATATTTGCACAATATGAGAGAAGAGCAGAAACGAAAAAACACAATGTTCGCCCACAATGAAAAAAAGCAACGTACACCAAAGTAATGCCCACATAACGTGTTGGAAAATTCCTTAGTCACGTCAAGCAGCTTACCTGAGCATCATCAACAAATATTTGAACTGTTTATACATTAGTTCTACTCAATAATTTGTAATATTTCTATTCATATTTTCATACGAAGAAATTTTCTTTAGACAATGTTTTTTCACGTCATGTCAAGCACTTGGTTTGCTTATCCTTTCATCCTTGCTCCACTCTTTCTCTCTTGCCGCTTATCAATCGCAATGCCTCGGCTCGTTTAGTTTATTCTTTACATTGTCTTGACTTGACCAAGATGGGTTGAAGTTGAGTCCTATTTGCAGCACTGAATATTTGTTTTGCCCTCAGAGCAAATGTTGTTGGGTCGTTCATGTCGTAGGTCACTTTGGATATTTATATAACTTTTCATGTGACAGCAACAACAATAACTTTGGGCATCAAATGGGAAAAGTTTCATCTGCCTTGATTAGTCAACCAGGCAAGTAAGTCGCAAAGCGACTGGCAAGCACCAGCTCCCTGGAGATTAGGCAGTTGACAGCTACAAATAAAAATAAAAACTTTAACAAATAAATAAATAGCAAATGGTAAAAGCTAATGGTAGAGTATAAATAAGAGTTTATTTAAATAAATGTAGAAATGCAAATGACTGGAAGACATTAATTGTAGAAAACTTTTTGAATGACTTATGTTTTCTAGACAGCAATCAACTGTAAACTGAGCCACAAAGATAGCATGAATAGGTCTAAGTTTTGAAAACTTTATTCAACAATTAAGTTCTAAGTTGAGAGTCTAAGCCGCATTGATATATAAATATTAAATAAACTTTATATCTAAACAACATTTTTATTGTTTTCTCGTTGCAGCATCTGCACAAGCGATTTCACAACAATAAGAAAACTCAGCTATATATATCCTCTCTAAAGGGTAAGTTAGATAAACTAAACCTATAAGCCAAACGCTGAGAAGCCACATTTTAGAATTTCGGGTCTGCATTTTAAATTTATTTATTAGACTATTACATATAGATTACAAGGTTTTCAAGTTCATGGTAAAAGCTCCTTGTACATTTGATCTCCCAGCTCTGTAAAAACAGCAGACTCTTTCATGAGTGGGCAAATAGTTACCTAAGAAATACAATTGGGCTTTTGATTGTAGACTGCTTGTGATCTTCGATTAATATCGTAGTATTAATCTTCTTTAAAATCCATGTTCTATACCAAACACTATCACTGTAGTCAGGGATAAATACTACAGAAGGAGTCACCACCCAACTGCCACGCTTTTCAATTAACCAGCCCGCCCGGGGCAAGGCTTAAGACCCCAAGTCAACTGCTTGCATCACATACGTTTCTCAACAGAAGAGCATAAGATAAAAAACGGAAAAATACAGCTCAAAGTCATTCGCACTGTTTGGTTTCCACATCCGCAGATCCAATTACGTTATATAGTCGCGAAGCGTTCGCTGGCTGTGAGATGTGCCCAAGGAATCCTGCTCATTGCTGCCAATCTCTTGCTTCCACTCGGATGCAGTCTTTCGGTTGGAGGAGGCGGCTATCCCTCACCCATAATTTGCGCAAATAAGAGGACGTCAGTAGCAATGATTTAATTACGCAAACAAGGAACCTAACTGGAGGGCATGGGATTGCGCCTGCCTTAAGCTGGCGTTGGGCAGGATGGGAATAGTATAGAGTATGTCATAACAAACATAAAATGGCAACTTGTGCCACTTGAGTTGCAAGTTGCTCATACGTTGCATTGCCAGCCTCTGAGGCGCACTCTCGACAGCTGTCTGTCTCTTTGTCAGTGTGCTGTCAAGTGCCTTCTGCGAATTCACTCAGCTCGTCTCAGGCAGGTCCCCAGCTCCAATTTGAGCAACTCCTCCTTGCGACCCTTCATCAGCTGCCGCCTTAAACGAAAAATGCAATTCAAGCAATTTTCAATTTTCGTTGTCGCTGCAGCCGCACATCGCGCTCCGGGCAAAAGATGCACATAGCTACCCAAGCAGCAGAGTCTTAACTGTTATCCAAACCCTCGACCGATCCCAAAACATCTTACTCCTGGCCTTGGCGACTAAGCCTGCTTTACATCAAATTGAAAAGCAAACTTGTCGCACTGAAAAATTTTATCATTTCGCAGGTCTACTGCCAATTTTTTACTTACCCATTGCAGCTGGCGTTGGCGCCCTTGCGACCTACTGCCTGACCCTTGGCCCCTCCCAGACAGCCAACCCTTTAGCTTGGCAGCACTTTTATGGCTTAAGCAGCGCTTTGCAATGCGTTAAAATCGTGCGAAAACTTTTTGCGCAAGATTTTATTTCATTTTATTCTACTTTTTTTTCGCTTCAAGTTTCGCAGCGTGTCTCTCTTTCTCTCTTCTATTTTTGCTGCCTTTTCCTGGTGCCTTCAACTTTCGCTGCTAAGCTTAAAATTAAGGCATTAATGTTGGTTTTATGGATTCATCTGAATTGGTTTCTCCCTCTCCTGGCATTCGTTTCAAGACTTTTAGCTTGGCAGTTAGTTAGAAGTTTTGGACTGAAAATGTATTTAAAGTCCAGCACAAACAGTTTGCTCTGCGCTCTGCCGCAGTGGTAAGTGCATGCAAATAATAGTAACAATAAACTTCATGTTAATCTCTCTCTCTCAATTGGAAGCTTTTGTTCTTTGGCAGCTGCCGCAACTCTTTACAGTTTATTGAAAGAAACCTCGAAATGGTTTTTCTGTTAGATATGAGCACTGAACAAGTTTGAATCGACCTTGCAAAGGTTATACACATTTATGTCATGAAATGCTTAAGACATCTTCGTTAGATTAGCTCCCGAATAGACTCTAAAGCGATTCCTACAAAGAGCCAAAATGCAAAACGAGATAGCTTGCAGTTTAACAATATGTGCGCCGCGATGTCAAGAATTGCGGGCTTTTTGATTATGCCAGAATTCATAGCCAGCATCTGAATTTCTACACTTCAACGAAATTCGTAATTTGCGGTTGACTTTACGCGGCTGTCAGTTGTATTATTTGAATGCTAAATGCTTAACGCGATGAACTGCTGCGCAGGTGGGTTGTGTGTGTGCCCCAACCCACTATGTAGCTGAATAGAATGTTGTACTTTGAGCTTCTAGGTGAATCTCACTAATTAAACGAGTCGTAGCTCTGACATGTACTTTTCTTTCTCTAGAATTAAGAGCATGACTACCTAGCTGCAGCCAGTAAGATCCGACCAATCTGGCCAATTAAAATCCCTGCCATTTCTCGACTTTCCACAAGCTATTCACAAGCTAACCTCACACAACGAAAATAAGCTCCAGGCTTATTTCGATTTTCTTAGTTGAGCCGAATGCTTAGCCTAACCTAATCCAATGCAAACTTAAGCTCTTCGACCTTAGCTTAGCTGATGACTTGTTCGAATTGTATAAAAAGCAAGTGCATTTTAGTAAAACTTTCTCTATTAAGGGAAAATCTCATTACCTAAAACGCAAACTACCGGACAAACAGCTAGTTTTGACTTGTGAATTTCATTCATTCTGTATTCTGTACAGAGTAAAATAAAATGAAACAAACTCATCTCACCAGGTTACACAACGCCCGCCGCATCCCTTGCTACCTCTTTGTCTAAAACAGCCTACACAGTTTTTCAAGCCCAACACTTGTAAAACAAAAAGCAATTTACAATGAGAGACCTCGACAATGGGAGGGCTGACGCTGCCTGTACCTCCGCCCAGTAATCCAATGCACAAATGCAATGCCAACCTTGCAACATCAACACCAACAACGCCAGTAACAACAACAACGATAACAACAACGATAACAGAAGTTATACAAATGACTGCAAATACTCAAAGCAAAAACAAAAGCGCAGAAAAAATCCATAAAAAAATGAAAGAGATTTGCCAAAGTCATTTGGCAAGTGGCGAGCAACGAGACGAATGGGGCTACGGCGAGTGAAACGTAACGAGACGCAAGTAACGAGTGGCAAGAAACAATTTGCGGCGAGCAACAAAAGACAAGCGACGAACTGCAAACAAAGCAACGACAGCTACAACAAAAACTCTTAAGTATTCCGAATAAAAGAGCTGAAAGGCTAAGCTTACAAAGCAAATACTAAAGCAGAAAACGAGAGAAAAAAAAAACAAAAAAAAAAAAACCAAAAAGCAAAAAGAAAAATAAGAAGAACTCCACGGTTCGCAGAATTTCTACATTTAATATTATGAAACTAAGATCGTTATAGAAGAGAGTACTTGCATATATAATTTGAAACAGTGTGCAAATATGTGAGAGATAAATATGCGAGTCTCCCATTAAGCATATGGGAATATCGCTTGCTTACATTTTGTTGTATGAGAGCAAAGCAAAGCGTTGCGAGTAGCTGGTAAAAAACCATTTTGCCAAAAGGCGAGAAACATTCACGATAATTAAAAATATTTTTATGGTATTGTATTTCGAAAACTTGGGCGGCTTGGCGTTAGCTATAAAATAAAAGACACTTGATCCGTATATACGTTTTTATTCAAATTTGGCAGCTTCATGTTTGAAAATCTACGATATACAGCAATTCGATTTGTATCGATTGATTTTTAGCTGACGTAGTAATCGAGTATCGGATACAAATTTGTACTGCGCGGGCATTTGGAGCACAATCGTTCAAGTCTTTTAGCTTTTTTGGGTTATGAGATAGACTAGTTCATAAATCGGACAGACGGACGGATGCACAGTCGGACATTCGGACGAGCAGACCGACATGGCTAGATCGACTCAGCTATTGATGCTGACCAAGAATATATATACTTTAAAGGGTAGTAAATGCTTCCTTTCTGCCTGTTACATACACTTGCACAAAACCATTATACCCATTTTCAATAGACCCCTATATGTTCTCAAATAACTTAACAGAAGTATTTAAATTTCCATTTACTCCCTAAAGATGGTATCTTCTGAAGAGTTCCACTAGGACACAAACTCAACATTCGGCAGTCGTAGCTGACATTTGCCCATATAAAGTTTCTCGAAAAAGCCAACTAATTTTAAATAGAGCACAATAGACTCCTGACGCCCTTTTGTGACCAATCAATCTTGTGGCCCAGTCCTGGCCAATCCAAACAGCCTGACCATATGCCTGGCCATGTCCATGTCCATGTCCACATGGAAGCATGGTTATGCCGGCTGCTACTTCATCTTCATTCATTTCGCCAATTGCTTTGGCGTTGGCTTTTGCCAGCTTTTCCATTTTTTTTTTTGACTGGGAAAATGCGTGCATGTCGACGATGGCGACAATTGCAAATATTTTGCAATTTTCCTGTTTTGCTAGTTGGCCCTTTCTCTTAGCCCGTTTCTTCGTGCTTCTTCCGCTTCTTTCTGTTTCAGCTGCTGCCTCTCGCTTTGCATTTCGGCATGGGGATGAGCTAGTAAAAGGGTTGCTACCCTCTGTTTGCTTCGTTGTTTTCCCTGACAAGTAAAAGCACGGGCCGGGGAGCTGGGGGCGTTGACTTGTCATGCTTGAGTGCAGTTGCCTGCAGCGCCGAAAATATGCAACTGAGTGTACATCCGACAGCAGAACCCCCGCTCAGCCAGCCAGCTGGCCAGCCTGCCCTGACCTGCCGTAGCCCCCCGCTCCCCTTTCAGCACACAAGCCGAACGGCTCTGCAATGAAGATTGATCACAGTTGGCGCAAGTTGAGCGCCGTTTGTATAGCCCCAACTGCAATTTTTATTCGTGCCACTTTCCGGCGACCTTCTGCTGCCGCTGCCTGTCGTTTAATATGAAAAATTGCGCCAAATATTTGCGAAGCGCGGCAAAAGATGCAGCAAATGTTAAAAGTGGCGCCCGCTCTAATTGTAAGAATTTGTCAGTATTGTAAAGGGCTTACAAATTAATAGTTGGCCCGGATACTGGGCCAGAGACGCGTTGTGAATTGTTGAGTGTTTGGCTAAA